AGAGCCAATGATAGCCATCCCACAATATGAAACAATCTACGAAACTAGATAAATAAACTGTTAGAAATTATTTAAAAATACGATTACACTCCAATCAATTTCATAAAACGACAACCAAAACGATCGATTATAATTCCGATAAAAATTGATGGTACGTTGAAAACAATTATGCCTAGTGTCAATGCATTCTAAATATTAAACAAATTCAGTAGTAAATACATAGTTCAAAATATTTTTTTGAGAATATTTACTTGATATTGTTGTGTTCGACCGGAACAATCTTGTTCTGTTGAATTCATAGCTTCGACTGAATGACAATATCCGGCAAATATACCATATTTTGGTAAGACTCCAAAAAGTGCAGGAAATCCAAATATATTCGCACTGGTAATATTTAGTTCGATCAGAAGCCAGATAGCACCGAACCATTTTCGGTACACATTCACGTCAGTTAAAACAGTGTTTGACTTCATCTTTGAAATATATATATATATATAAATACAGAGTATTCGAAAAGTCATTTAACATAAAGAAAATTGTATATCTCCGCCATTTCTTGTCCGAATCGGACAATTTCTTTTTTATATGAAAGAAAAATATTCTAAGTTTTATTTGGTAATAAAACGCTCTATGTGTGCTTGTCGAAAGTGTCACCATTCACATCAATACCAAAATTTTAATCTTTTTACAATACTATTGAAAACGTTATCGAATATCTCGTTTTTATATAGCTTTAATTTCTCCTTCAATTCTGTTCTTGAAATTATCAATATCATTAACTCTTGTTTTTTATATGCTTGTTTTGACATACCCCATAAAAAAAAATGAGTGATGCTATATCTGAAGATTATGGTGTTAAAGAGATTGGATCACATTTATCAATCCATCTGTCATATCAAACTTTTCATTAGCCCATAAGGGCTGGACAATATCCCTCAAAATCGAGAAATTGTTCCACTTCCAGCGGAAATCATTTACCCAACACAAAGTCAAACAGAAACACTTTTTGTAACGAAACACGTATAACTCAGCATTTTGGATTAAAAGTGGAAAAAATGTTTCTACTTTCAGAAGCAGAAGTGTATAAAATACAACAGGAAATCGATCGGATTTTGCTCATAGTACAAGGAGAAATAATTACCATTATTTTTCAGTATAAGGTGAAGTTCTAGTAAAAATCGATTTTGTACAACAGAAATGTGAGTCTCTAGAGTAAACATCAATGATCTATTCAATGAGAAAAAAGCTGATCCTAATGAATGTGAGAATCCATCAGAGTCCAAAGAAACTAAGCGAAAAAGGAAAAAATTTGGCTTACGCGTTGGTGACAACAAAAAAAAAGACTCAAAACACTGAGATACTAATTTGTCTCGATAAATTTTGACATGTCATGATGAATTTTGAACGGTTTTAGGGCTCATCAAAATCTACGCTTTGTCTATCGATTTCATATTATTGTAATGAATTCCGTTTAATGATAGTCCATTACTATAACTTGTGGCAGCTTTTCGTAGATTTCGATAAATCTATCCTACAATCTATTAGGACTCAAAGATTCATCAGGATCCGCTTTTTATTTGCCGGCCTAAGTGTGTCAGAACTTAAGACAATCAATTACTGTAGTGTCAATCCTGTTTTTCCTTTAACAAGCCGGAAAGGATCTTCCAGAATCCTGAATCTGAAGATTCCTGTCATGTTTTATTCAGTATTCTCTTTCGAATTTTAGTAATACTGGTTCGCAGGATGTCTCATTGTGAAAGAGTATCCTTCTAAGGATCTTTTCATGTTCCTGCTGAGATTTTTTTGATTGTTTAAAAACGAATGATCCTACTAGGTATCAATCTCAATCTTACTTAAGACCTTGGCAGAAATAACAGAAAGAATTCTGTTTAGATTTTATCAAAAGTTTATCAGGAACTGTTCGAAATCTCTTCACCAGGACCCGTTCTCGACTTACAGCTAAATCAAGGGAAGGGTCTTACGAAGAATAATATAAGAGCAGTGACAATCCTGAACTCTTGAATCCTGTCAAGGTTCAATTAGGATCCTATGTCATTTTCTTATGCATTCCTGCTATGAATGTCTCTTCTGAACACTTCCAGGATCCTCTTCGAATTTTTTCACAGGCAAGCATTGCGAATCTTTCCTACAGAAGGCCAAGGATGATCAGAATTTTCGTGAGCAAATATCAAGGTTGAATGAAGATTTTTATATTTTTCATTGAGTCTGCCCAAAGCTTGATCTTAAAGATTCTAAGAAGATTTATCACTGATCTGGTTCAGAGTTTTGAAAAAAATGACGAAATGGTTTCACCATAATATTTACTAGTCCTTATTTAGGATCCTTTGAAGGTTTCGAAATCTTTGAATTCCAATCAATTAAACTGTGCATGTTAAGTAAATTTTAACAGTAACAAAACGCAAAAGCTACTCAAGATTCTACTATGTTTCTGTGTTTCGCCTCTGACAGAATCCTAACGGTTCAAGAACATATCTAGATTTTATTTTAATATTCATTTGCACCCCGATATAAGTGAATGGATGAATTCGTGCAAAAGCTTAGAAGATTCTTCTTCAAAACTTTTTAAGGCTTACATTCAATATGACATGCCATTCGCAGCATGGAATTCAGTTAACTTTTAGATGTTATTTTCACATAAAGCTTGAAAACTCATTAAAATGGAGATTTTGATATCTGTTTAAATGTTGCACTAATTTTTTCTTTAAAAAAGCATTTTTAATAAGAGATAAATTCATTCAGTAAAACTTGCACTGGATTTAATTTCTTCTTGTTAGAAAAATCAGAAAAATACTTTTTTATTCAAATTAAAATCAGTCACTAATAGTAGAATTGTATGATAAGTAATCAATATAATAAGTTTAATATTGAACTTTTCTAGTTTTTCTTAGAATAATTTATGTTTACATAAAGTTCAAATACAAGTTGCCATTTCAGAGAGAATTTAAGATATTGAAAATTAAAGTTAAATTAAATAACATGATACAATAGTCTGCTGTAAACTAATCGGTTTGTAAACTGAAGATCTAGAGATTAACACTATATGCGTCCATTTCCCATCTTTTCTACTTAGAGGGTGGGGTGTGATTGTTGGTGCATTACAGAATGTTCCAAAATATTTGCGTACTTTTTTATTTTGCATATATCTCAGCATGAATAAATGATAAAATCTTGATTTTTTTTACAAATGGTTGTTATGATCTGAGTTAACAACACTAGATCATATTGGCATACATGCCTATATTCTTCGTGTTCGTCTCTTCTCTTTTTTTTTTGTTCCTTCTTTTTTTGTAAAACACGCTATAAAGCTAAACATAAACATCTCTATACGTGTAAAGAGAACGGCTGATACCAGAGAAGACGAAAGAAAAGAGAAGAAACGAACACGAAGAACATAGGCATGGACGTCAATATGATCTAGTGTTATCAACTCAGAGCATAACAACCATTTGGGAAAAAATCATGAAAGAAAGTCAAAAGAACATGGTTTATATTGATTTTTATAGAGCTTTCGATGGCGAATTTGTAAAAAAAATCAAGATTTTATTATTTATTCATGCTGAGATATATGCGAAGTAAAATAGTATGCAGACATTTTGGGACATTCGGTAGTATAGATAACGAGTAAATCCACAACCTTCTTGAGCATGCACTGTACTCACCAGATCTTGCATCATCCGATAATCATTTGTGTGACAAACAATACGAAGACTTCCACGGAATGAAATCTGACCTCACCTCTTTTTTCGAATCACAACCGGCTAGTTCCTACAAACATAGAATTGAGCAATCGCCAGCAAGATGGATGAAGGCTGTCGAAACTAATGGCGATTATATTGTTGATTGATGATGCATATCTTTGTTGCAAAATAATTTTTTTCGTTGAACAGAAAAGAATTTGAGAATTTATGTTACAACTCAAAACTAACAATAATATCTTATTAATTTATTAAAAAATTCAATGAAAAGAATAAGATTTCAGAAAAAATTATTGCAAAAAAATATAAAATGAACGAGTACTTCCTAGGGTCTCATGATCACTAATTTCGTAGCAGAAGCAATCATTTCCGTCCTACACTTTCATATTCGTCATGTATTTTTTTAATAATAAATTTTAAGTTAAACTTTCTTTAATCTTTTAAAAATAAAATCATAAGTCATGATATCAAGTTAAAGAAATATCTGTTTTTCTCAATTAACAATGAAGATATTTTTTATCTGAATTTCATAAGATAAGGGTATCCTAAAACATAGATTGCGTATAGCCAAATATAAGAAAAAGAAAAATGAAAAATAAATTATTCTGTCAGAGAGAAATCTCATAACGGTGTTTATTATGATACAAAATAAAAATAAAAGAATTTTTTAAAATTCATCACTGTCACTACTTGTTTAGTAATTTATAAAAGACACAAACATTCTTTGTCCACTGTATTATCTAGATGTCTTCATGATTTCCAATTACAGTCTGAGATATAGCGAACAGAAGTAGCTGTACATGCGAAAGCCATAATTTTTCAAATTTCTAGCTATAAATTACTCATAATAATGATCCATCAAAATGGTTCCGTACAATTGAATTCAGAGTAAAGCAGAAAAAATTGAGAAATTATTGTGATGATATGCATTGTCCTCACTTAACGACACTAAAGCAGTTGACTTACTTTTTGTATTTCACAGTATTTCCAAGAATGGCGGTGGTCTCGATCCTACGAAGACAATTGTCCTATCACAAACTGACTCAATGAATATGGGTGTATTAGTATAGATGACGAGTAAATCAACACCCACATCCATACCCATACCCTCAACTGCATGGTAACCAAAATATTTTTCTATTAAAAACTGAATTCTTCCGATGGACGACACTTGAACCGAGGCTTCGAAAGGCAGTTTATCACTATTACAATAAAAAGACTAGTTATTAAAATGCTGTTTGAAGACTGAATACAATATATCAAGAAGAAACAAAATGTTTATCATTAATCTGTTGATAATGTATCATACAATTCAGTGCTATTCAGAACATCAGTGTCGCTATATCCACCAGTAACTAAGATCTTTCCATTTGTTAATATGGATGCGGTATGCGCCAATCGTGCATAAACCATGCTACTAGTAGTTTCCCAAGTACCTGTTGATGGATCGTACAACTCAGCACTATTGAGATAACCACTACCACCATCTCCACCAGTAACTAATACTTTTCCATTTGTTAATATGGATGCTGTATGCTGCTTTCGTGTATTATTCATACTACCAGTAATTAACCAAGTTTCTGTTGATGGATCATACAACTCAGTACTATTCAAATAATCATTAAAAGTATTAGATCCACCAGTAACTAAGATTTTCCCATCTATTAACACGGATGCGGTGTGCAGAAATCGTGCATCATTCATGCCACTAGTGGTTGCCCAAGTTCCACTTGATGGATCATACAACTCATCACTATTCACAAAATCACTACCAGTATATCCACCAGTAACTAATACTTTACCATTTGTTAATATGGATGCAGTATGTCCATTTCGTGCATAATTCATGCTACCAGTAGTTGTCCAAGTTCCTGTTGATGGATCATACAATTCAGCACTACTATAATAACCACCAATACCACCATATCCACCCGTTACTAAAACTTTTCCATTTGTTAAAAGGGTTGCTGTATGCTCACTTCGCCCATCATTCATTCCACCAGTAATTGACCAAGCTTCTGTTGATGAATCGTACAATTCCGCACTATCCAAATAATCATTGCTACTACTAGATCCACCAGTAACTAAGACTTTCCCATCTGCTAATACCAATGCGGTGTGTCCCTCTCGTGCATGATTCATGCTACCAGTAGATATCCAAGTTCCTGTTGATGGATGATACAACTCCGCACTATTCAAATAACCACCACTAGCATCATATCCACCAGTAACTAATACTTTTCCACTTGCTAATATGGATGCAGTGTGTGTAGTTCGTTCATTATTCATGCTACCAGTTATAGACCATTCTAGAAGAAGCCTTTGAAAATATGAAACCTGGACATAGCATACCACTGGGTCGTTAAGGAGAGTATGCCAAAAAGATGTTAATTTTTGCCTTAAATGCTCTCTTCTCCAAAGAATAGAAGTCCGTTGGGCTTCTAATTTGTTTCAAAAGTCAGAAGTTTGGACATGCGCTTCTATCACGATCAACGTTTTTGTATTGATGAGGTGGATTTTCAAATCACGTAACGAGTTTGAAAGTACAATAGAATAGCTATGATAGTTTCCGGGAAATCAAAGATTGGCTGTCACTTCTTTCTCGGGTCCAGACGATGAAACCGGCAAAGTAATGAATTTTTTTACAATACTTTAGCATCCACACGTTCATCTGTCTGCAATACTTGGTGGTTCTTGGTTTGAATACAAAGTATTACAGATATGCAATATTTAATTTAGGAAATTATTGAGTTCGAGAGAAACTAAAAAGGAACTTCTATTAGACATGATTCAATGTGATTCTACTGAATAATTTCATCATAAAAGCTTATACAGTTCAGAAACGAAATGAGATATATTTTAATTATCTTGACAAAAATAATTATAAAGTAAATCCCTGGTTCGAAAACAAGAACCTCTCATTTCTATATAATGAGTAGTTCAAATTTTATGAAAGTTATAATAATCGATATCGTGCTATCTCACATCAATTTTTAGTTTTAGATTGGATAAACGCTCACATAATTTGAACCGATCATTTTTCACCGTTATGGGATGTCTTAGTTTTCAGCCAAGAAGCTGCTACTATTTTTGTCAAATTAATAAAAGTAGCATCGTTTCTTTTCTGAACTGCGCATAATCTCATAACAGGACGAAATCTAATAGAGTAATAGTACTGGATGTCTGTTTCCTATTTCGCAAGTCTTGGACAGCTATCTTTAAGTAGTATATCTGTATAGGTATTTTTCAGATTAAGAAAGAAATTTAGTTGCCCACTGAAAGAAAGTAAACATATATAGCACAAAAGAAATTAGACACATAAACCAATCTATAATTAAACAGAGAGAATCAATGAAGTCAGTTATCTCAAAACAAAGGTCCGATCTAACTATAGTCAAATCTAGAATAATGGATCATTCGGTTATGCCTAGGCAAAATTTAGAGCAAAGCAAGTTATGGGCGTTAATTTGAGCTTCAAAAAGCAGTTAACAATGGATGTGTTCAGTATTTTTATCTTCTCTCATGAACAGCTGCAGAGTTTGAGTGCGGAGACGCTTAAACTTTCACTAGCGTTAAACAAAGCTGCTCAATGGAAATGCATTAATAGAATACCTTGTATTTTGATATATTAAATTTTTTAATTTTTGGATAGTGAAAGACATGGTTTATGAACAAACGACCAGTATCATTCCTAAGCTTTGTCAATTTCTTTGTTTCGAACGAATTAGAAAAAGGTAAGTCGAACGTTATGCCGTTTCAAATTCGTCAAGATTAGGATTAACTTTTACGTCGACTACAACTTCAAAAACAGATTCGCTAATAGATAGATTTTCTCGATTCAATTCGTCGCCAAAAAGTACTCAGGGAACTGTTTTGATAACAAACACGGGGATGACAGACAGCCAAAAATTTTACGAAAATACTTATCAATAAATAGACCCGTTTTCTTTGCAGTCTGAGTTTAGATATGACTGACTAGTAATACTTGATATGTGTCTCATGATTCTGGTGTATTTTTTCTGTTCTTCACATCTTATGATAATGGTTATAGCTATACGTATTTTTTGCTTTTATCAAGACATAGCATAAAAAATCGAATGTTGTCTTTTTGATCGGTAATTTGGCCACGAAAAGGTTTCAATGTCATTATAATGTGCGAAAAGTTTCAGCCAAAACGGATGTTTCCCTATCGTCATACAAGATTCTCAAAACAGCAAGAGTTTCTGAGCTCTTAGTGAAGAAATGTGATTTGTTCCAGATATTGTATTTCGAGATGGTAACAGCGATATTGAATGAGACTTCGGCACATCATAGTAACACGAAAACTTCGTTATAGGCAAAGTTTCCGATCGAAACTCCAACATTTGACTATTTATGATAACCCCTGATACAGGCGAAACGTTTAGGAACTAGGATATATTTCTAGAGGAAAGGCCACATGAAACGATTCATTCTAGACTGCGTCTGGTCTCGACAGGTCCTACTAAATTTAGTGGGTCTCATCTCAAACGCTGTTTATCGCTTTTAACGACTTTCTTGTTAGACAATTATTTATTCTACGGTACCCGTTACAGATACTTAATTTAAAAGTAGCATTTAGCCAGACTAAGAAAGGTTACTCTAAAGCTTACGTGACTGCTTAGTAGTAATCGTCGTTGTTGTGGTCGATGATGATGTCGTTGTTGTGATTTTTGATGATGTTGTTGAAGCTATTGTTGTTATGACAATGATTTCTGACTGTTTTGGGACAAGAATGACGAATTTTAATAGCAAAGGGAGACTAACTGCCAAAATTATGAAAATTATCAATGAAGCGCCAATGATCCTAATTCGCCGACGGCTCAGCCATTTATATCGCTCATTATTTCCAGTGTCATGTCCACTGTACACTGGGTTGTTATGCATATTTTGTATCTCAAGAAGTTTTAGCTGAAAACAAAAAAACAAATGATTGTTTGAAACCACTTTATATTTGTCTTCTACTATCGGAAGAATTTTTAAAAATTGCAGCTACCTGTGTCGATAGGCACATCACTCTTACATGATATCTCTTCTTTCATTGTGGCTTGTTATATAATCGCTCTTAACTTGTATAACACACTCACTCCCATTACTCTGTACGCATGATTGCGCCTCTTTCGCTTTCTCTTTCTATTCTAATCTTCCTCTCGCCCTTTCTCTCTTGTTATGAATCTCTCTCGTGTATAGACTCGTGCTGTATGTCAGATAGACACATTTGGAGAGATATACACTTGAAAGTAGATAAAAGTCAAATAAACATCGTACCATAAGGCACAGTCTCGTATAACCTTCCATTTTTCATAGCGATTGAAGGGATGTAGCTCACGAAACATCAATAACGAGGCTGGTGATAAAGCTACACTCTCATTTTTCGTTACCGTAACTTTAACTCGAACGCAAAAAAGCATTGCTATGCTCTTATCTTTGTGTGATATACTGCGTGTATGACCAAGATAACGCACTTTTACGTTTCATTTTTAAAGTTTCTCACGTTAAATGTTTCTATTTCTGTCTGAATATTATTTTATTAAGTGCATATTACGGCATACGGTAAAGCCATCTATACATTAGAAAAAGCCTTTAAATGAAAGAATAGGAAACCGTTATGATGGTTGATTTTTTAAAGATTTGTGTACTTTATTGATTTAGGTTGTGGGCATGAGTGTGTGGGTGTCGCCGTAGGTGTAGGTAGGTTTGAATGTGGATGTGGCTGCTTGTGATGAACTTTCTGTTATGTAGATACATGTCAAAGAGCAAAGATACGTTTGCACCATTTAACTTCTCTTCTAAAGACATTCTCTGCAGTCACAGAATGTTTTGACTATATACAATACATGGTCCATGATATTCAACATTTCCTTCTCATTTTATCGATCAATTCGTTTGAAAATGTCGACAGTGTTATCGAAGGAGTCGCTCACTTAATTCAAATTACTTTTCTGTATTTACTAACTTCTTCAAACAGCAGCAGAGAGCTACCCAAGAAAAATAGTCTTACTGCTTTTAACGACGAAGATCATCTTCTAACCAAACTCGCAGAGTACATTGAATTGTGCAATAATAAGACTTTAAAATTTAACATATTGGCACTGAGTCGGTCAAATTCATGTGGTACCAATATCTGGTGGAAATTATTCGCGCTGTTCCCAACGCACAGGAAGCCAAAAATGATCTGCTTGAATTTTGTCGTTGAACCTACGCCGAAAATCCAATTGAACTAGATAAAATACTCGAATTTGAAAAGACCTATAGTCCAGAAGTTGCTATTAAATGATACACACGTGACACATTTCACTATCGTCTCATTAGCAAAGTCTTGCGTGAAGAAAATATTGATGATATGTACAAGATTCATCTTATCCTATCCGATATTCATACACAACTTGTTGAAATACATGGAGACTATCTGGACATATTTCTCGAATTGAGTCTCTGTCCATATTGTCTTACTGTCTATCGAGTTGAAATGCAATATCGGTTGTTTTATCTCTATGAATAGTTTTTTTTCAACATTGACTGCGAGAGATCTCTCATTGATATTCAGTGGGCAAGAACAACAACAACCACAACTGGAATCAACATTGTTTGCAATAACAATTGCAACGAGCACATGTGAAACGGCATTTGCTGATATTCAACATATCAGTTAGATATCAGACGAAGACGAAATTTTGATTACAATCGGTGCCATTTTTCGTATTCACTCAGTGAGTCAGATCGACAATATATGGATTGTAAGGTTAACTTTGTGTAATCAGAAGAGTCAAGGTATCGAATAGCTAACTGATTGTTTTCCTGATATAAAAGATCATCAGCCTGATATGTTTACATTTGCGTAATTCTTATTCAATACGAGCAATCATGGAAGGGCGACAACAACTTATCGTCGACTTCTCTCTTATACTTCATCTACGGATGAGACGTAGGTGAGATTTGAGTATGGGTGTTGATCTTCTTATTTACACCCACACGCTATGGAAAATAAGCTTTATATTCACATGTTGGATATCAACTTTTTCTGTAGTGAATAAAATACGAAGATTAACAAATGTAAAAACAATAGAGTTGGCATTTTAGATGGTATAGTAGGGATAGAACTCACGAACATGCGATACTGATTCTCGCGATCTCAACTTGGGCAAATTCTTTTCTCATAGTCCGTAGTGGGTCATTGGAAAATTGTTGTATTAGCTCATTGTTTAATATCTGACGGATGTAGATGGGTGGTTGGGTAGGTGTGAGTGTGGGGGTTGGTGGGTTGTAAGTGCTGGTAGGCCATCTGATGCTCGTGTGGCATCCACCCACACCCACCCAGAACTGTTTGCCTTTTGTGACGTAATCGACGAGTACATTATAAATGTACTATTGCCAAAAAGAGGTTCTCATCAACTCTCCTACTCATACAAAAGCAAAATTAACAGTTGATAATATGATGGATGACCACATCAAAAATCAATTTGTTGTAATTAAGATTCTGTCCTAGAATTCTGCTCACATGAAAACAAAGATTTTCAGTTAATATGATAAAAAATGATTGTATTACAAATAAGTTATTCTTAACAAAAAACTCTTCTATTATGTTGTTTATTTCAAAGAAAAGACTTACAATTACTAAACTCAAATGATTACATCTGAAAAGAAGTATTACAAGCACAATTTTATTTACTTATTTTTATCGGTTACAGTGGAATATTCTAATTAATAATAGGATGGATGGTACATGAAAAATGAACAATTGATACCAAAATTTTGTAAAATTATTTTGTTAACTTCAAAAAAAGCAATTTTCGTTCAATGACTGATTCAGTGATCATATCTCACATGGATTATTTTGAGGACGATTTTTTTTTAATTATTTTCTTGCTTTTGAAGGAAAATGTTACATTTATTCAAAGGTTTAAAAATGACATCACATATATGAATTATTCCATCAAGAATATGTTCAAATATTTCTTATACTTTGAACAAAACATTTACATTTATTTCATGATCAATAGTTACATAACATATGAAGTTTTTCATGAAAAATGGGTGTGGGTGTGATAGAGGATTTCATTCTAGTTCTGGCACATCCCACACCCACATTTACACGCATTCACACCGATACCTCGCACTCTCACTCACCTCTACACTCATATTCTCAGGCGGAGTTTTAAAATTTTAGCCTCGCTTGGTCCTGTCCTGTCCAGATCAGATCAAGTCTGGTCTGGATGAAACGCGGTCAATTTTTTTCCTAGATTGATCTATTATAATTAGAAGTGGCACTGCAGGTTTTAAATTTTTTGGCAAGTTAATTGCAGTTAAAGTCTCACTTCAAACTCTATAATCAATGTTAAAATGGCATGCTTTTATCTAAAGAAGGTCAACTGTTGCATGCCTCGATTTCTACAAGTTGGTGCAAGTTTTTTCGGTAAACTGAAATGTGAATGTATTGTCTCACTATATTCCGTTATGCATCACAGCGATGTATATTAATAATATATACTTTTCTCACCCATTCTTTTTTAGTATAAACTGTAAAAGTTCAAAAGTGGAGCTTGGTTTTGAGAGTTAAAGTCAACTCAAAAGATTACACTTGTTATTGATGATGAACGATTATTTTTAATTTGCTTTTTGTTTGTATTTTCACATGGGATTATTATTGAGTTAGAAGGTGTCTCAACAGACAAGGTGAATAAATGCAGAACAACTATCGCACTTACTAATAATGCAATTCAACTCGTTACCATTCAGAAAACAAAGACAGGAAGCGAATATTATTCCTGGTTGACATTATCCATGTAAAAAACGACTAAAAGTAAAATCAAAATCAATAAGAATAGTACTATTCCAATCTAATGTTTTCAGCCTTCATAACATGTTTCACTCAATTCTAGTCTTCTTCATCCATTTTAATTAGTTAACATACTTTAATCTATTAAAATCGATCTCTAATAATTTGTTTTAATCGATTTAATCTTTATAATGGATTACAATAGATTAAATAAAATTAAAACCAAATGAAAATCTGTCTCTCAGACTAAAAAATCTGATTAGAATCAGATTAAAATGGCATCATTTTTATCAATTTTTAGTCTAATTTTCAGTAATCTTTGTACATGAGTAAGAGCACTTTCTGTTTTTCGGTTTACATGATGCCTTCCTGATGATATACATTTTTGAATGTCATGAATCAGCACTGATCGAATAGGAACTGACTAGAAAATATAGTTTTTATGTATAGAGAATTCTACTTTTTGCTTAATCTGTGTCTTTTTGGTCTCTGTTTATTGAAAAAGTTTATACTTGCATCATCTTAATTGAAAACAACTAAGTATGCAACAGAGAGTAGTGTGATAGAATATGAGAAAATGTCGAACACATATTGTACAATGATATCCACAAATTCAGTAATAATATTCAATAAATCTATTCTATTCTCAAAAAAGCTTGCTGGCTAGGACAGACCGCAGGCCAAGTGATTCGTTTTTGACATGGTCTGCCTTTGTTCCAGGCTACACCAGGCCAGAAAAGAGTGGCCCGTTGGCAGCCCTGATCAATGCAATACAGCCAATAACTAATAATATTCAGCCCAAACATATTCATCGTACGTCATGGCCAGGAAGTTCTGCTTTTGTAATATATGATGTTCAAGTTGTTTATGGTAACACTGTAACGGTCCCAATGGAGTGCATTGTATGGATGATATTTAACGCTACCTTACTATATCTTTTTGTTATTCTAGACATCGTCCTTGCTTTTTGTTGTTGCTTTGATGTCCTTGTCTTTCCTCCTCTTTCATTTTCTTTGATGCTCGCATATATAAGCGTGTGATTTATGATATGGAGAGGCCAAATAAAGTGTAACTCCATCTTCATTGACCATTATTCGATCTAAAAATCGTCACAAGCACAGCTTATTTTTCAACACAGCATGTTATTATTGCTGTTGAAGGACCAGTTGAAGAAATTGATTTAAAATCAAAGGATTATATAACACATGTTAACGGACATCCCATGACTGATCGAATTCGTAATGAACTTGTCAAATCAATTCTTAGTGAATCAGAGAATTAATCTTTATATGCTGTACAGTGTTCAAATGCTCAAATATGAATCAGAGTGAGGATGTTCCTAGTGATGATGTTCTGGTGAGTCGTTCATCTACTCGAATCGTTATACCTTCTCCTGCACTCAAGTTCACTCAATCTCGAATATTGATACGAAAACAAAAAGACTTTTGGACTCAGTCTCACCTGAGCGTGACTTAACGATTCAGTTTTACATATAAGATGCGCACAATAATTGGCGCATGTTTGTATGTCTCTGCTGTGAATCCTCTAGAATCGACTATCATAGCATGGAAATCTGTAAATTAAATCTTCTTATTTAAATTTTATCTATTTTATTGAGATAAATCATACTACAAATACATCGGAAGCTCTCATCTGTCCACATAATATCACAACAAGTTGTCATTATTCATCATCATCGGTGGAATCCGCATCTGAAGAATCATCGTCAGTTGTAGTTGATTCGTCAACATCGTTCACATTATCCATTGCTTTTAAAGTAATTACTCGATCTTCGGATTTTGTAACTTTAAAAAGAGAATAAGGAACGAATAGCCATTCTTCTTCCATTGGAAAATATGAAACTTCCGCTACATTCCTTACTTGAGGGCATTGTGAGAAAACATGAATCTTAAATAAAGTGTCACCGAATCCTTTAGCTACACTTTTATTTGTGCTTGTCGATGTAAAGCCTGGAAATCGAAATACCTTTCCTGGCGTAAAAAAGTCCAGTTGATCTTCATCAAGTTCCATACCACGATATACAACACATGACTCGTCTGGTCCATGATAATTAATTTGATAGGTGGCTCTACGAATAAATGGCATCAAGTATTTTAATCTAGATTTCCTATCCCTGAATATTTGCTCGTTCACATATTTGTAAAGCTTTTTTGAACCATAATCAACTTCAGAAGTGTAAGTTCTAAGTACATCGTAGTCTGATGGTTCTTTGCTAATCATTTTGCACACCGGATGAGAGCTACTATGTATGGACTTTAAGTTGAGAAGTGACTCGATTACATTCTCATGGCCAGGGTGCTTTTTTGTTTTTTTGTAATATTTCAGAAATTTACTTTGTTTAAATTCTGTTTCAGTAACACCTGGTATTGCACTGTGAAATCTATCGTATTTGCGATTACTCATGTTATCTAGAAACAAACAATAGACTATATATATACGCAAAATGCAAGATCAAATGAGATTGAAATTCTGCATCAATCGCGTTATACAATGCAGCATNGGTGAATTCAAGCTCAATATATTCATTCTTGAGATAGATAAAAATTGGAACATGGTCTAATTCAAAAATTTTAAAATTGGAACTAATAGACGTTAAAGCCTTTTAATCCTTTAATCCAATCAAGCTAGGCTCATTTTTGAAAAAAAATATCCCAAATAAAAGGACACGGATATGGATGTGGGTGGGTGTGGGTGTGGATGTGTTGATTAAAAATGAAATCACATCCATACCCCCACTCGCATCCATACCCACACCGTCATATTGTTGATCAATTGAGAGCGCTAGCACATAATATAACCTTATAGTTAATATCTCCATTAGAAATAGAAACACTAAATAGTGACATTGTATTTGTACAGTAGTGAACATTAGCTCTTTTTCTGATACTGTACTTCTAATTATTAATATTACAATTAATCACTTCAAAAATAAATTATTTCTGCTATTTTGTTGAATTGACTTTTATTGATATGAAAACGAGAAATCAATATTACGTGGGCAAAATATCCGTGCGCAAATTTCCTCGTGCGCTTCTTTCCTAGACTCAGTTGAAGTATCATATTGACAAAATTGTCTGTCTTTGTCTGTATAGCCATTCTGTTTAAGAATCAAATATGATTTGTAATCACTTGTACTTTTCTTGTTGAAATAACTTTCTTGAATGGATTCTGGAAGAATGAACGGAATAGGTTGACGGTGAACCTATGGCTTTGTCAAGGTTCTTTTAAGATCAAAAGAATTAAAAATTACCTCCAACTCTTTTAGAATATTAAATAGTCCTTGAGCATAAAGGCTCATTTTTGATAGGCTCATTTAATTCTTAATAAAATAGAACAATAGTTGTTTTATTGCTGTAGTAAGGATGCGAGGGCATGTGTTCTAAATGAAAGAGTGATATTATTTCGATTAATATACAGCTAATGAATAAAAGCAGCAAATATTTTAGTCACTCAAATATAACTTTTCCAAACAAACAACTAATCTCAATGCCAATTTTGCTTTTCTATTCTATATTTTGATTGTTCTATACAACGTATCAATGTTATTATCTCAACTGGTATCATAAATTTGAGAATACAATTTAAACTGAAAGGATTTTATCAAAGTATCAAAATACAATTTTTCACTTCCTTTCGATAAGATCATATTATTAACATATACAGACTGGACCATAAATAACATCCTGATAAGAAATTTAAATATGTCCGCCCGACGTCGACCAAATGAACTGAAATTTTTATCAGCGATAGAGGCATATGCAAAGTTTATATCAATAAAGACATGCCTAGAGAGACTCTTTCTTAAGTATAACTATTGACCTCAACACAAAAATTTTACTTTTTCACAGATAGGAAAAAAAACAATGTACTTAACAAAGGATCTCTCTAGACATGTCTTTATCAATATAAAGCTTGAATATGCATTTATCATGGAGGAAAATATCAGCTCCTTTGCTCGAGCCATAATGAAGATATTCATTTTTTTTCGGCAAAGTGACTTTTGCGCCACTCTGTATATTGTTTTTTTCCTATCTGTTAAAAAGTAAAATTTGTGTGTTGAAGTCAATAGTGACATTTAACAAAGAGTCTCTCTAGGTATGTCTTTATGGATATGAACTTTGAATATGCCTCTATCACTGGTGAAAATTGCAGCTCGTTTGGTCGACGTTTGGTAGAGATATTTGCATTTCTTATCGGGGTATTATTTATAGCCCATCCTGTATTATTGTAACATATTCAACAGAAAAAGACTTTCATGTAAAATTATATTGAAGAAAGTTCAACATATACAAATAATTTCTTTCTCGAAATAAATAGAAGACTTCCGTAGATGAACGATGCAATCATCCGTAATAAAATACTTTCCTTATTTAATTGATTTCTCATAAAATTGGAACTCTAATTAGTATATTCACCTGAGAATATGCGTAGTTTTTCGAGCTTTGAGTTGAGAAACCTTACAAGATTGAGGTTGACGCCAATCCTAGATTTTTAAAGTCCTAAAAAATCTCTTCTGTTTTTGAGAAAATCTTTTAATCAAAAGTTTTGAAAATATATGAGATAGAATAGAAGACTTTCCAGGAAAAATCTTTCCTGTTGCTTATAACACTAGACCTGGAGTGTTCTATTACAGAGAGAGGTTCATTATTAACAATCAGTATTAGAAGATAAAGTATTTAATCAAGTTAATAAATTTTAACATTTTTCGAACAATATTTCTTACCCAAATTATCATTTATTTTTATAGGATGAATGTTTTAACAAAAATCTTATTCATGTGCATTAAGACAACCATAAAGAAATGACACTCCATCCGGTAAATCTTTCTTACATAGTACAATATTAATTTACAAATGAAAATAAATTCTACTATTTCCTTGAAGAAGCATGAATTTCCGCTAGAGCTGAAAGGTATAATAAGTAAAATTTTTATTTTTTCCGAGAAAGAAAAAGAAACTGAAAAACAGAAAAATCTTCAGTAAGAAAGAACATCTTCATAGGATCATTATGGCTTCTTCAACGGTTCTAGATATTCTTCATATTAGTCAAAAATATGCACTCTATACTAATTACATTATACTTATTACTGGTATTATTGGAAATTTTTTTAATATATTGATTTTTACTGGTTTCAAAGCCTTTCGAAGTAGTCAATGTGTTTTATATTTTGTAACCGAATCAATTTCCAATATATGTCAATTAATAACATTTTTTCTTATAAGTTTATTAATAACATTAAATGATAATGATCCAGCAAATTCAATACTTTTCTGGTGTAAATTTCGTACTACGATGATTACATTATGTACACTAATTTCATTTTCTGCTGTATGTTTTTCTACTTGTGATCAATATCTTTCAACAAGTGTTCAATCCAGTTTAAGAAAATTAAGTACAATTAAATTAGCTAAAATTCTAGTATTTACAGCAATTATTATTTCAATATTACATACCATTCCATTTTTTATATTTTTTGAAATTCGAGCTTCTTTCTGTAGTGTTTTCAATCCAATGATGTCTCAGTATCTAACATATTTCTATTATCCAATTTTATCTGGACTTCTACCTATTTTCATAGCGTCATCATTTAGTATTTTAGCATATCGAAATGTTCGACGAATTGTTCGACGGCAAATGCCAATAGTTCGTCGACGACTTGAGCGACAATTAACAGCAATGGTCCTTGTTCGTATTATTGCATTTGTTATATTAACATTACCATATGCTATTCAAAGAATGTATACATATCTTGCAAAAGTTGATCAATCAGATCTTTTACTATTTGCAATTAATGGTCTCCTGGAAGTAATTATGAGTTCACTATTTAATCTAAATTATGCGGTAACAATTTTTAATTAATACTATTTGTTTTTTTGTTATTTATATAATGTATTTTAATTTAGGCATCTTTTTATATATTTATGGCATCTTCAGTACGATTTCGTCGTCAAGCGAAATATGTTTTGGTAAAGAAATGTTGGCAACGATTGAAACGATGGTTTTCTTACAATGAAAATCAAATTCATCCAAATATGCAGATGCAACCAGTTGAATCTAGCGTTGAGCAACAATGAAAAGATCTTGACATTAAATATTATTTAAAACTTTACAGACTTTGTTCTATTATTTCATATGAACTGCTTATTTGTATTGTGTATTAAATATTTATTATCTATTTCAAAAATTTTCATAATCTTTTTGTATGTGTTGGTTGGGTAGAGCACATTGAGCTGCATAGGAAAAGTGTCTGCCCAGCTGAGTCCTTTTTCGGATTCAAAAAAATTATATGGACTTCATCGTTGAAATATGAGCCGTTATATCTTCTTTGTTTTCTATTAATACATGATTCCACTATGCATCTAGTAGAGATATATTTTCTCTCTCACCCCATGTATTTACAGACGCACTACTTACAATTTTTTATGCACAAGTTTTTAATAGAAGATATCTGAGCCAAGACTTGAACCTGAACGCTTTCTATTAAAATATATTGACCATAAAGATTTATGGTTTATTTATATGTCCATAGGAAGTTCGTTGATTGGCTTCAGAAAATTTTGCTAAATCCAGTGAAGAGCTTTAGTTTCGAATTTTTCTGAGTAAGTTTCTCAAAAATACACTTTCGAAAAAATCTCAAAGCTTAGATTTCATTACCAAAAAAACGTCAATCCTTCATGCAACTATGAATAAAAGATTCTTTTCGCTCAATGCAACTGTAGAAATATTTTCTCTCATGTTATGACACAAAATTGATTAAGAAAAAGTAATTTTTATGATTGATTCAATATGATGTAATGATAAAAATATTTTGATCCGTGACTACTTTCGACAAATGGTATCAGCAGGGTTCCAAAAGGAAGTAACATTTTCAGATTAATAGATTTCCTCATTTTTTTAATGTGATTTTAAGCACTAATTTGTCAGAAAAAAATTAAGTGACGTTTTCATTTTTCTTTGATTCCCTACTGAGAAAAACATGTTTTTTTAATAGCAGCGACAAAAGAAAAACAAGTTCCTTCACGTTTAATAACGCTGATCATCAAAAGTTCAAAATTAATAAAAGCAAATATAATGTTTGGATTTAACATAAGAAATTAACTGAAAAACCAGACTTTTTCATAAAGTGTTTTTCATCAAAACTCGATTGCTACTCTACCTTTGGTTCTTTTCAATTAATGTGCTTTGTGCCTCCCGCCCCCCGTGGCTAAAATTTTGATGAAAAATATCTGTTTAATAGAATCTATGTTTTACTAGTCAATTCGTTATGTCGATTCCGAATATCATGTTTGTTTTTCTCAGCAGAGAATCAAAGCAAAATAAAGAAGCTATTTAAACTTTTTCTAGGCATTGAAGATGTTTAGAATCGCATTTTAAAATTGAGGAAATCTTTCATTCTGAAAAAGTTCGTTTCTTTTGGAACCCTAGAGATAACATTTCTTGGAAGTAGCTACTGTTTTTTCCTAAGTAATTCACTGTGCTCTATTCCAACTGTATATAAAAAAGTGAGAAAAAAATTGTGAAAATTGTGAATTGTGTACACTTAAAATATCTTCTGAACGGCAACACTTATTGGTTGATAGCGTGTTTTAAATGTCAAGTGATTAGTAAAAGACCAAACTTAACTTAAATGATTACATTTCTAAAATTGTAATTGAACTTTTGTTTTCCTTTTGTGACATTTCCTTGTTTCAGAAAAAGCGGCAAGTGTTTTTTTCGTTTTTTTTCTTTGTTAATGCTTTTCTGATAACGTAACCTAGCATTCTACTTGTCAAGATACAGGGCATATCAAAGTCCTTTTGCTTTAACTCTTTTTTATATAATACAACAATGTACTTGTTTTTAATTAGAACGTATTTTACTGAGAGCTCTTCGAGATATTAATCCTGTAAGGTGATTTTTCCGGTTAAAACGTAAGATCTTGAAAAAGAAACAACACCATGCCCTGTGGTCTGGCGTGCTCTTCCAAACGGAAAGCAAATTAAATATATAGAATGAGTGTTGAGTCTTGTGTGATGAATATTTTTTTTCAAATATCATTGCATAGAACTGAAAATTTTGCCATAGGCTCTTCATTGCGCTTCCAATATATCCTAAAAATTTCAGACGATTTGAACAGACTTAACATGAAATCCGTTTTTTCTCATTATGTTTTGAAAATGTAAACGGTGTCTACTCATCTGTATCCTCAGCTATTCAAGAGGTATATATCAGTCGTGAAATTATACAGAAAATGGATTTTCTTATAGATTCTTTCAGACCATTGCTAGTTCGGTGGTGGCATTCAAATATTGATGACTATTTCTTGCAATATCGTTCTGTCAACAAGATGGATGGTACGTATGAGTCTACTACACAATATGACATGTTGATAGGCAAAAAGTAAAAAATAATGGTTAGTGAATACACATAAACGAGTAATCCATAATAGTCGAAAGACTATATAAAATCCAATAATTAGACTTAATCATAATAAAAAAAGCGACTTTTTAAGCTGTTCTCAAGATACATTGGATAGATATGGAACAATGCTTGAACTTCAAAGGAAAATTTTCGGGTAGTGTCAAACAAGAGGACCAGCAAATGGTATGGTTTTACGCAAGAAAACGAAAAAAGCTAATGGCATTAGGTTCAACATTTTCTATTTTATATCGTGAAATGAAGAATAAATACTCTTGTTAATGGTTAATATGTAACATTTCAAAGCAAGATTTCGAATTGAAAGAATACAATCAGAATATTGACTTAACACGTCCTTGACAATTTCTAAAACAAAAGCAATTCTTCAAAATAAGAAATCATTCCAATTAATGTTATTGGCGGTAGCATTGCATCTTCTGGATTCGTTGAAAGACTCAAACACATAAAAAAAACATCTGAACCATAACAAAGATCAAATGTATATGTTTTCTGCTTTAACAAATAATACAAAAATAAAATAATCTTATGCATTTTTTCATGGATTATGTCTTCGATCCTAACATGTTACTGAGTAGATTTAAAAGAGAAACGATAGCATGAAACGTAGCATAATGACAAATATACGAATTCAAAAAGAAACCTCCCATGTCGTCTTTTTTTTTTCAAAAACCGACGGTTAACCACGGTTAACCAACGGTCAAAATCCGAGCCGGTGGTCAAACGAGGTTAACCGACGGTGTTGTTTAGTTATTTTTACCAAGTGTAATTTATGAAAAATGCAAGTTGGAAGCAGTTAATATAAGACCTTTG